CACACACATACAAAATGGGTGTAATACCTTGTTCTTGGTGGTGGTGTTGAGTCGCTGGTCCTGTCCGACTCTGCGATCCCATGGACTGCAACATTCCAGGCTTCCCCTGTTCTTCACCGTCTCCTGGAGTTTGCTCAAACTCAGATCCATTGAATCAATGATGCCATTCAATCCTCTCTTTCCTCTTTCATCCCTTTCTCCTCCTGCCCTTCAGTCTTTCCCAACATCAGGGTCTTTTCCAATGAGTTGGCTCTTTGCATCACGTGGCCAAAGTATTGGAGTTTCAGCTTCAGCATCTGTCCTTCCAATGAATATTCAGGATTGATTTCTTTTAGGATTGATTTGTTTGACCTACTTCAGGGAACTGCCATAAAAATAGAAAGAGATTGAATATCCGAAGCTCCTAGCACATGGAAGACAACCAATAAACAGCCATCACTCCCTTCCACACACAACACTCAGCCCCGCTGCAGCCTCATGTGTGACCCATCCCCAAACCAGTTAACATCCATTCATTTATTTTTTTTTAGATTTTTAAAAAATGTGGACCATTTTAAAAGTCTTTATTGAACTTGTTACAATATTGCTTCTGTTTTACATTTTTTTTTTCTTTTGGCCGCAGGGCATGTAGGATCTTAGTTTTCTGACCAGGGATGGGACTTGCACCCCCTGCGCTGGAAGATGGAGTCTTAACCACTGGACTGCCAGAAAAGTCCTCATTCATTTATTTTTGAAACACATGTTTATTGAACTTTCATTTGGCTCTGAACAGGACTGTGAGAGAGAACGGTGAGTACATAGAGCCATGGATCCTGCCCTCCTGTTGAGGAAACAGGTCTATAGATTCCAAACTCACACAAATATGAAACTGTAATTGAGACTGTGGTGTTTCCAGAGACTATAATAGGAGAGTCTAACCTAGTCAGGGGAGGCATCCCTAAGCAAATGACCTTTAAACTGAAATCCAAAGGGCAAGTAAACATGACCAGGTGTGTGGGGGGCAAAGATGTGTCCTGAGCAGAGGGAACAACAGATGAAAAAGACCGTGGTCTCAAGGGTTGTGAAAACAGACCAGCGAAGCTACAGAAAAGACAAGACACTGGGAGGAAGCATTGGAAACAAGAGGGATGAATGAAGGGAGGGCCAGATATACACAGTGCCTAGTAGGGCATCAGCAAGTCTTTAATATCTGGCCAAGTCCTTTTGCATGACAAGGAGGTGAAAATCAAGTGCTACATGATTTTATCTGAGTGTGAATAGCATTTCACTTCAAATTAGTATTGAGGGTGGTATTTATTTCTCTCCTTGTGTATTTTTCCTTATTGTTTACATCATTTGTAATGAGTGTTTATCATTTTTTCCCTCACACAAGAGCTTTTTTTCTAAGTCAACTTCATTGATATATTATTTGTCTACAATAAAAGGCACCTATTTTAAGTGTGAACCTCTCTGAATTTTGGCAAATTTCTACCAGCTCAAGCAAGACATAGAATGTTTTCTTCACTCCCTTCACCCACACACCAGTCCCTGGCCACTACTCAGCTGCTCTCTGTCACTATGTATTAGATTTGTCTTTTCTGGAATTTCACTTAGATGATATAGTATGATATATACTGCTTTTGTGGCCAGCTGCTTCATGTTTTTGAGGTTTATCCATTCCATTGTGTGTATCAGTTCTTCATTTGTTTTTTTCAATTCATAATATTCCATCATGTGGATATGCTACAATTTGCTGAACCACTCACCTGTCAGATAAACATTTGGGTTGTTTCCAGGGTTTTGGTTTTTTTTTTTTCTTTTGGCCATTGTGAATGGAGTTATGATGAATAGTACAGACATATGTTTTTATTTCTTTTGAGTAAATACCTAGGAGTAGAAAGTCTGGGTCTTACAGTAAGTATACTTTTACTTTATGAGAAATTGCCAAGCTGTTTTCCAAAGCAGTTGTGGTTTTCCATTACCAGCAGAGATGGACAAGACTTCCAGTTATTCCATATCTTCCCCAAGGATAGTATTATCAATCTTCTTCATTTTAGCCATCCTAGAGGGTGTGCAATGGTCTCATTGTGGGCTTTTATTTTTGCTTTAAGATTTTTTATATTTTGGCTGCACTGGGTCTTAGTTGCAGCATGCAGGGGCTTCTCCCTAGTTGCAACATGTGGACTTTTGATTGCAGTGCATGGGCTCCTGTTGGTTGTGTCACACAGGCTAAGTTGCTCCACAGCACGTGGAATCTTCCCAGACCAGGGATAGAACCCATGTCTCCTGCATTGGCAGGCAGATTCTTAACTACTGGACCTTCAGGGAAGTCCTCTCATTGTGGTTTTAATTTGCATTTGCCTCATGATTAATGGTGTCCAGAATTTTTTTCATGTCTCTTGACCATCTACATTTGCAAAATGCAATTTTTAAATTAGGTCAATGGTCATGTTTTTATCAAATTGTAAGAGTATTATATTCATTCTGGATACAAGTCCTTTGTCAGATAGTAACCTGACACATATTATCTCCCATCCTGTGACTCGCTTTGTTTTTTTAAACAGTTATATTGGATATAATTCACATACCCTCTCTGACTTCTCAACTGTAGCTTTTAAAAATAATTTTTAAAAGTTTGGTGATTTCTAAATTACCAATCTTTTCTTTTCCAGTTCAGGTTTTTTGTGTTGTCACTAAGAAATCTACCTGTTCCAAGGCTGTGAAGGTTTTCTCCTGTGTGTTCCTCCAGGAGCTTTATAGTTTCAACTTAACATTTATGTTTGTGATCTGTTTCACTTTCATTTTTGTTTATGGCATCAGTTAGAAGTTGAGATTCCTCAAAGCTTTTTTCTTTTAAGTAAGGTGCTAAACAAAGCACACAGCAAGCTGTAGTTTGAAAGACCAAGTCACCAGCCAAGCCGGAAATGGTCAGTGATATCTCACCGTCACTTTGTTGAATAGATTATTGCAGAATATAAAAGCCAGGGTTTGTGGTTTCCTGTGCAAACCTATTCCAGGTAGCAGTGCTCTGACACACACTTCCTGTTGACGTCCATTCATGATTATTCATTCCCACCGTTAGTGCTGATTAATGCAAAAAGTGATTAATACTGAACACAATTTGGTAGGGGGAGGGGAGGTGAAGGAGGAAAAGGAAAATGCTCTTCGCCTGCTGCAGACACTGCCCAGGTGATCTAGGATTTTCTAAGTAGCCAGAGCTACTTTCATCGGAAATATTTCCCTGCTAACTCACCCCAGTGTCCTAATCCCCACCATTAAGAATCACCTGTGGTCCAGTGCTTAAGACTCCAAGTTTCCAATGCAGTTGTTCCTATTAAGTCACTAAATTGTATCCAACTCTTCTTCAGGGGGCACAGGTTCGATCCCTGGTCAGAGAGCTAAAGAGTGAAAGACAGGGAAGCCTGGCATGCTTCAGTCCATGGGATTGCAGAGACAGACTCGACAGCAACTGAACAACAACAGGGAGCTAGAATCCCACATGCTGCATGGCACAACCAAAAAAAAAGAAAAAGAATCACCATGAGAGGTAAAACATAAATTAACTGAAACCCCCTGTGAACATGCCCATAGCCTGAAAGGGAATGGGGAAAGGAGGCTCTGGTTCTTTACTGGATCCATCAACAGCTTCAGAGGAAGGGTGAAACAAGCCCCAGGATGGGTAGAGATTGTACTGTGGGAGGAGAGGAAGAAGGAGAAAGTCTAGAACAAGGTACAGTGCTCCCATATAACAATCAGATGTGCTGACCTAAAAATCAGAACACAGGGGCTAATAAATGACATCATTTTCCACTTTGTGAAAAAATTTTTTTATTTGTTTTTGGCTGCCTCCAATCTTAGGGTCAGGTTGTAGAGGCACACAGCCTCAGTAGCTGTAGATCATGGGCTTAGTTGCCCTGTGGCATGTGGGATTTTAGTTCACCAACCAAAGATTGAACCCATGTCCCCCGGACCTTCCAATGGACCTTCCACTGGACCACATGGGAGTCCCTACTTTGTGAAATCTCTTAAATGGAGAGTTTAACAGTGGCTCAAAGTTGAGTCATTTACCTGACTATCCTTGTTCAGATTCTCCCAAGGTATCCTCCATATCTCGCTGCCATATTCATAAACTTTAAAGGACACCTCTGAAGTGAGCTGAGAAGGCATCAGTAGAAAACCATACGTAGCCATTCTGGGGCCCTGGGTTCTTCAGAAAACTTAGATCCCAGAGGCATGTGGGCCGCAGACCTCACCCACTGTCAGTCTAGACTGTGGTGTAGTGGTTTAGTTGGTAAGTTGTGTCTGACTCTTTGCGACCCCAAGGACTATAGCCTGCCAGGTTCCTCGGCCCAAGGAATTTTCCAGGCAAGAATACTGGAGTGGGTTGCCATTTCCTCCTCCAGGGGTCGAACCCGGGTTTCCTGCATCTCCTTCTTGGCAGCAGATTGTTTACGTACTGAGCCACCTGGGAAGGGGCTTCCCTGCTGGCTCAGATGGTAAAGAATCTGGCTGTAATTCAACCCCTGGGTCGGGAAGATCCCCTGGAGGAGGGCATGGCAACCCACTCCAGTATTTTTGCCTGGAGAATTCCCATGGACAGAGGAGTGTGGTGGGCTACAATCCATGGGGTTGCAGAGTCAGGGCACGACTGAGCACAGCACCTGAGAAGCCCATCAATCTAGACTACTGACACTGGAAATGATTTGGGGGTAGTGGACACACCCTTAAGAAAATCTGCCAAAGTCGTCACCTTCCCGGTCATCCTTCTCTTAGTTCAGCCCCTGTTCCCTATATTGAGCTTTATTGTTTTGTTGTTAGACTCCCAGATGGTACACATCACATATAGCTACAAGTAATATATACAATTTATTCACTAAAATGGGGACAAAATTCCCATAACTCCAGAATGTCAAGTTACATCATCAAAGTTCTCTGTTTAGAAGTAGAAGTAAGTGTTGACAGTACTTCTTGTATGAGATAAAAAATTAGACAAATTTCACAATGTGGAGTGTCCTTTTCAGTCAGTAGTATTGCTTCAGGCGACATAATGTCTCACAGATCTTTCCTGTAACTTCCATAAAAGTCAGCCAGCCAGATTTGGTTTCAAACTTCTTTACAAAACCATTTTCCTACAAGAAAACAAAGTTAACATTTTAAAAATCAGTGGAGACTAAATTTGTTAGAATGAAAAGCAAATAAACTTTCGTTTAATTAATATAGGTAGTCTCTATATTTTCACTGGTTTTATTCTATTCATCCTCATTACCATTCTCTATCTTCAGTTCCAGACCACCCTAGAGCAGTACTGTCCAACAGAAATATAGTACAAGCTACATATGTAATCTTTTTAGCCACAGGGTTTTTTTTTGCTGGATCTTATTTCCCCAAGCAGGGATTGAATCTTCTCCCTTGGCACTGAAACCATGGAGCCCTGACAATTGGACCGCCAGGGAATTTCCAGTAGCCACATATTTAAAAGTAAAAAGAGGCAAAATTAATTTTAAAAATATAATCAATTTATCTAAAAATATTATGATTTTGGGACTTCCCTGGTGGTTCAGTGATTAAGACTTTGTGCTTCCAATGTGGGGGGCGTGGGTTTGATCACTGGTGGAAAACTAGGATCCCACATGCCTTGCTGCACATGGCCAAAAATAAATAAATAGATAAGCAAACAAATAAATTTTGATTTCAATATGTAAGCACGATGGAAATAAGATATTTTACTTTATTGGTACTAAATCTTTACAATCCAATGTGTGTTTGAACTTACAGCATATCTCAATTCAGACCAGCCACATTGAAACTGTTCAACAGTCACCAGTGACAAGTGGCCACTGTATTGGACGGCATAGCGCTAGAGGGTAGAGAGTCTATCTTTTCCCCCCTGCCCTCCACCCCACTTTTTCTTCTGAATATTTGGGACTGAAATATGCATTTATTAAATAATTTTATTTATTGATTTGTTTTTGGCTGTGTTGTGTCTTTGTTGCTGCATGCAGGCTTTCTCTAGTTGTGGCAAATGAGTAACTCTCTAGTTTTAGTGCTCAGGCTTCTCGTTGTAGTGGCTTCTCTTGTTGCAGAGAAAGAGCTGTAGGTGCTTAGGCTTCAGTAGTTGCAGTATGTGGGCTCAGTAGACATGGCTCTCCGGCTCTAGAGCACAGGCTCAATAGTTGTGGCACATGGGCCTAGTTGCTCCAAGGCATGTGGGATCTTCACGGATCAAGGATCGAACCCATGTCTCCTGCATTGGCAGGCAGATTCTTTACCATTAAGCCACTAGGGAAGCCCCTGAAATAAGCATTTATTTGTAAACTCCTTTGTGCTGAGAGTCATGAGGATGCAACAGTAAAGCCAGATTACATTCATTCCTTTTTTAATCAGACTTTTTTTTAAAAGAAGCATATAAACTGGACCCCCTGGAGTAGGAAATGGCAACCCAATCCAGTATTCTTGCCCAGAAAATTCCATGAACAGAGAAACCTGGCAGGCTATAGTCCATGGAGTTGCAAAGAGTCAGACACAACTGAGCAACTGAGAATGCATGTACACATAAACTGGACACTGTATTTAATTAACTTTTGATATATTATTATAGAGCACCCTCACTGAAAAGCACCTCTAAGCTTATCCAGCCTAATGTCCTCTCTTATTTTGACAAATGAGGAAACAGAGATCCAGAAAAAAAATATAAGTAAGGTTACCTGATTTCTTAGTACCTGGACCTGTACTGAAATGCAAGCACTGTTCTTTTCACTCCATAAATTTTCAAACCACTCCCAAGAAGATTAGAAAATTGTTTAAAAAAATTTTTTTTAGATGTTCATCTAGTAAAGTTCCATTTCTGGGGTTACAAACGTCTTCAAGTAGTTCGTAGTTCACAGTCTAGTGTGACTAACACCAAAGTGTAAACCAAACATATTTCTTTGACTGAGAACTCCATAATGCTGTGGAACTGTCTTTTGGAGCATCACCATCAGCGAAGACTAACACCATTCAGAGGAATTTTCCATTGAAAAGATTGCATAAGAAAGCCAACTTCTGCCTCCTTGTGAAGTGTGATGTCATGCCCGGAGGCACTTGCTGTCACAAGCTCACAGAGGGGACAGGCTGCTCCTGCTTTTCTTCCTCTTTCTCCTGCCTTTACACACTCAGGCATTTCCCACACGTCCCAGGTGTGAGATCCACTTCAGTGCTTCTCTTCCTAGAATTTCTATAAACCCCGTACTGTGGGGACACTCTACAAGTGATTTTTATTATTATCAACAATGATCACCATTATGATCAGGCAGTTAATGGGTTAATATGTCACCCTCTTATATTTATTAAAGTTCTAAAGCAAGAACAAAGGAAAAAAACTGACAATTCAGCTATATGAAGATTTTTTTTTTTTAAAGCTATAAGAAACTAAAATAAGAACAACAGACCAGGATACTATTTGTTACACATTTGCCATGAAAGAGTTCATTCAAACATAAGAGAAAATCATCAAGCCCTCATTAATTTAAAAGGCAAAGGCTGTTGAGAAGATAAATAACAATCACGAGCAAGTATATGGGGAAAAAACTCCACATTATCAGCTGTTAAATTCACATTTTAATAGAATCTTACTGTTTTTTAGACCTATTAACTTGACCTTGTTAATAGAAGTCTATTAAACCCTCAAGAATAATCTTTTTTTAATGGTTCCACCTAATGCTGATCAAATTGTGAGCTTGTCCCATTGGTAACAAAACTTTTGAAGGCAATGTGTATTCCAAAATGTATGAGTAGTGTGATTATCGATGAACCAATCATTCTATTGTAAGAAAGTGATCATGAGGCAGCCTTCTTTTTTTCTTTTGAGGCAAGGAATAAGACTTTATTCAGAAACCCAGCTGACTGAGAAGATGGCAGACTTTAGTCTCAAAGTAACCATCTGTTTGGCCCTGGATACCAAGTTCTTTTATAGTGTCAGAGAGAGAAGCAGTGAGGAACTAGAGTCAAAAGCCAGAATGGAGAGGGAGAGGCAGTGAAAGGCAGTCTTCTTTTATGTGGTGGGGGGTGGAAAACCATCTCCATGTTTAGTACTAAAGCATTATCTCTAAGAAGGAAAAACAGAAAACAACCCAAATGTCTAGCTGTTGGAAACTGCTTAAGTAAATTATGATGCATAAAAACGATGGGATAGTCTCTAAACATTGGAAGTGTTAACATGGAATATGTAAGGCGAGTTATTTTAAAAATTCCTCTGATGGCTCTGATCGCTCTGCTATATGGGGAACAGAGCATCACAGGGCAAGCTTGGAAGCAGGGAAGCTGAGAGGAGCCTATTGACACATTAAGTGAGAGAAGAGAGTTGCTCCAATGTGCTGGGTGTGCAGAATCAGAATTTGCTGATGCATCAAATGCCGGGTATGCACAGGAGTCACAGAGGACTCCCAAGGGGAGAGAGCTGAGCTGGTCAAGTGGATAGGATACTCCACAAAAACTCCCTGAAGGAGCCCTCAGGGAGACCTGAACTACATCTAACCTTATTCTTCATTAAATGATTTTTAAATCTCAAGTTAAAATTAAAAAAGACATACAAGAAGAATCTGGCCCCCAAATCTATTTTATACATCAAAGGATATATAAAAAATTTTGAGCTTGTATTACATCATTTTGGAAATGCCTTTGCCAGGCTGAACACTTGGTCAAGCATCTACATGCCTGTGTAGGTCCTTTGGTCTGCCCTCAAATTTACCAGACCATTATTGAGAGCTAGATGATCATAAGAAAATAAAACCTACTTTGCATAACTCTTATGACTCAGACTTTAACATGCTGGTTACATGGAAAGCACCAGTTCTGACTGTACATTCCTACTTTCAGAAGGGGCTTTCTTTTGGTATTAGAGTAGTTTTGAGAATTTGCATATTTAAACTTTTTGGAATTTCCCATGTAACCTTCACAGTTGTATTGTATCTGACAGTTTACAAAACACTCCTACAGAAAAGTTCTTTCAACTTTTAACTTTTAACGGTATATATTATTGTCTTTATTATATATTATGTGAGGTGAAGTGAAAATGTCAGTCCCTCAGTTGTGTCCCTCTTTGTGAACCCATGGCTGTAGACACCCAGGCTCCTCTGTCCATGGGATTCTCCCGGCAAGCACACTGGAGTGGGCAGACATTCCCTTCTCCAGGGGATCTTCCCCACCCTGGGATTGAACACGTGTCCCCTGCATTGCAGGGGAATTCTTCACTGTTTGAGCCACCAGGGAAGCCCATATATTAGGGAAAATATTATTTTATATTATATTAGGAATTTGGGTCTCAAGTGACTTCAGTAACTCACCTAAGATCGCACTTCTAGTGAGTGGGAAAACTGGAATTTAGATCTCACTTTCAATGCTAGTTCATTCCATCACCCCATTAACAAATATTTGCTGGCTCTGTTCTATACCACAGGCCCTGGGCCAAGCATGATGTATTCAGTGTGCATTAGATAGAGGTGATTCCTCTCATGTGAAACTGGAGGTAGGGTATCCTTTCCACTTGACCAGCACAGGGCAGGAGAGTGTTTTACTGAAGTGGGCAAAGCAGGAAAGCCACCTGACTGCAAAAGAAAGACAGTCCCAGGCGGTGAGATGAGTGTCTTCTCAGATGCATTCTGCTGGTTTTTAAGAACAGCCTTTCCTCGTGAATGCCAAACTGCTTAAAAAAAGAAAAAATAGCACTGGCTCTCCTGTCAGATCTACGAGAGCCTTTTCTTTCTAGTACGTCATGCTGGCAGAGACAGGAGGAAGTAATGGTAAATGTGGAAGAGGAATAAAAAGTGACATGAGAAGCAGCAAAGAAAAGAAGGAAAGAAAGGAAGGGAGAAACAAGGGAGAGGGGAAAGGAGGGAAGGAAGAAGGAAAGGAAAGCAGCTCAAGATGATAAAAATGAAAAAAAGAGCCATATGACCCAGCAATCCCACTCCTGGGCATACACAATGAGGAAACCGGATCTGAAAGAGACACGTATACCCCAGTGTTCATCACAGCATTGTTTATAATAGCCAGGACATGGAAACAGCCTAGATGCCCATCAGCAGACGAATGGATAAGAAAGCTATGGTACATATACACAATGGAATATTACTCAGCCATTAAAAAGAATACATTGAATCAGTTCTAATGAGATGGATGAAACTGGAGCCTGTTATACAGAATGAAGTAAGCCAGAAAGATAACACCAATACAGTATACTAATGCATATATATGGGATTTAAAAAGATGGTAACAATAACCCTATATGCAGGACAGAAAAAGAGACACAGATGTATATAACAGACTTTTGGACTCTGTGGGAGAAGGCGAGGGTGGGATGATCTGAGAGAATAGCATTGAAACATGTTTATTATCAAGTGTGAAATAGATCACCAGCCCAGGTTGGATGCATGAGACAAGTGCTCAGGGCTGGTGCACTGGGAAGACCCAGAGGGATGCAATGTGGAGGGAGGTGGGGGGAGGTTACAGGATGGGGAACACATGTAAATCCATGGCTGATTCATGTCAATGTATGGCAAAAACCACTACAATATTGTAAAGTAATTAGCCTCCAACTAATAAAAATCAATGAAAAAAAGAATAAATCTCACTGGTCTTTTTTTTTTTTCCTGTAGGGCATCTGTTATAGATGGTGGCTAATATCTAACTATAGCTGGTGATATAGTTTCTGGAGATTACACCTATCTATTCAAGGAAGTTGGGCTTCCCCAGGTGGTGCCAGTGGTAAAGAACCCGTCTGCCAGTGCAGGAGTCATGTGAGACTCGGGTTCGATCCCTGGGTGGGGAAGATCCCCTGGAGGAGGAAATGGCAACCCATTCCAGTATTCTTACCTGGAGAATCCCATGGACAGAGGAGCCCTACAGTTCATGGGGTGCAAAGAATTGGACACAACTGAGCGACTGAGCAGATATTCAGGAAACTTGGGCAATACTATGATGCTACTAATAATAACAGTAGCCCTAAACTTGTATTGAGTTTACTACTTAAGAAGGCTTTCTTTCTTTCCTTGCTATTCTCTAGAACTCTGCATTCAGTTGGATGTATCTTTCCCTTTCTCCTTTGCCTTCTGCTTCTCTTCTTTTCTCAGCTATTTGTAAGGCCTCCTTAGATAACAACTTTGCCTTCTTGCATTTCTTTTTCTTTGGAATAGTTTTGGTTACCACCTCCTATACAATGTTACAAACCTCCATACACCTGAAAGGTCAGGTACTGACCTTTGGTCAGTACCCTTCTAGAATTTCTCAGAGACATTTCCATACCATCCACTAATTATGAATTCCAGGAACTTACAACATTCACTGTAAATAAGCTAAAATTTTTCAGGAACATTTCTTAATTTTGTGTGTGTTACAAATACAGTCCAAACTCATACGTTGTTTTTGTTGCTATTGTTGAGTTACTAAGTCATGTCTGACTCTTTGCAACCCATGGACTGTAGCCAGATAGGCTCCTCTGTGCATGGAATTTTCCAGGCAAGAATACTGGAGTGGGTTGCCATTTCCTCCTCCAGGTGATCTTCCTGACCCAGAGATCAAACCTGCATCTCCTGAAATGGCAGGCAGAATCTTTACCATTGAGCCACTCATATAGAATTTGCCAACTAGGATTTCTCTACACATGGACCTCTGTGCTAGAGACCTTCTGCATTCACTTGAAATCTATGCAACATAATAGCTGCAATTTCCACCCATCCTTCAGTATAGCTCCCCACAGCAACCAGAAGAAATCATGAACAAACATCTCGCATGCTTTGTCCAGCCCCAACTCAGGCTGAGTTCCAAGAAAAAAAGGTGATAGAGAAAGAAGAGCGATTGAAGGAAGCCCTTTCATTATGCAGAAAGATATCAAAGTGCAAAAGACATCAAGTAAAAGATTAATACATGTGATTTCATCAATTTTTAAAACATTTGTAAGCACCAAAAACATCTATAGTTTTAAAAGGCAGTCAACATATTAGAAGATATCCACCATATACAAGGGGCTTCCCAGGTGGTATTAGTGGTAAAGAATCTACCTGTTGATGCAGGAGATGTCAGAGACATTCGATCCCTGGGGAAGATTCCCCTGGAGAAGAAAATGACAACCCACTCCAGTATTCTTGCCTGGCAAAGCCCATGGACAGAGGAGACTGGCAGGCTAAAGTTTACAGGGTAGCAAAGAGTCAGACACGACTGAAGTGACTAAGCATATATAAAACATATATAAAAATAATTTGTGTCCAGAATACTCCAAGAATTCCCACAAATCAGTGAGAAAAAGACAAAAAAATGGGAAAATGGACAAAGGAGAGAAATAGGCAGTTCCCTGAATAAGAATTACAAATAGTCAATAAACATATGAAAAGATGCTCAATGTGAAAAGACACTAGTAATCAAGGAAACTGGTTTAAAAAAGAATTAAAACAGCAAGACAGAAGACTTCCCTGGCCGTCCAGTGGTTAAGACTCTGCGCTCCACTGCAGGGGGCATGGGACTAAGATTCCATGTGCCACAGGGTGTGGACAACAACAACAACAAAAAGATAATTAGGTATGTATTTATAAGCCAACAGTGTAGGGAAACTATGACAGACCACCGTAATATAACATTAGTCAGCCGGGAAGAAAGGAAATGTGTATTCCATCTAGCTGTGATAGGAGGGTAACTAGGTTAGAATCACTTAAGAGGACAAGCATCTACTAAGTTTGAAAATGTGTTGACACCATGACTTAGCCATTCTATATCCCAGTATTCACCCTAGAAAAGCACACATGTACAGGGAAGACATGAATAAAGATATTAAATGAAGTATTGTTCATGAGAGCTCTGGAATAACTCTGGAAATAAATAACTATCCATCAGCTAGAAATGGTGGTTCAACAGCATTCACATACAACAGCATATATGTAGTACTCTTGTGTGTGTGTGTGTGTGTGGCCCTGTTGTTTGCGGGATCTTAGCTCCCAACCAGGGATTGGAACCCATCCCCCTGCAGGAATCTTAATCACTGGATCTCCGGGGAAGTCTCTGTGCTGAGCTCAGTCATGTCTGACTCTGTTGGACCCCATGGACTGTAACCCGCCAGGCTTCTCTGTCTATGGGATTTTCCAGGCAAGAATAGTGGAGTGGGTTTGCCATGCTCTCCTCCAGGCGATCTTCCTGACCCAGAGATCAAGCCCATGTCTCTTATGTCTCCTACATTGGTAGTCAAGTTCTTTACCACTGAGCCAACAGGGGAGCCCCAAGGAAGTCCCTGTAGTACCCTCTAAAATACTTATTACATATCCCTGGGTGGGGAAAAAAAGCAGAATAAGTACCAAGAACTATTTACATAAACAATTTCTGAAAAGCTACCCATTCCGGTATTCTGGCCTGGAGAATTCCATGGACTGTGTAGTCGATGGAATCGCAAAGAGTGGGACACAACTGAGCAACTTTCACTTCAAATATTAATATTAGTATTGTTAAATATTATTTAACAACTTATAATTTTTTTACAAAGAAGTGCTATGTATATTTTCTATGGATATATCCAACAAGCATTTTTTTTTTTATTAATAGGGATGCTTTGCATGTAAAATAATTGATAATAGTGGACAGCTTTGAGAAGAGAGGAGGCCGGGGATTGTGGGTTGAAGAGAGGTTCTATGGGAAATCAGTGCCGTAAGAAAAGTGAGCATTAAGTTTATTGGAATATCAAGAAAAGCATGTACATTCAGCCGGGACAGGCCCCTTATCAATGAGTTGTGTGGGGTTTCCCTGGTGGCTCAGGTGATAAAGAATCTGCCTGTAATGCAAGAGACCTGGGTTCGATCCCTGGCTTGGGAAGAGGCCCCTGGAGGAGAGCATGGCAATCTATTCCGGTATTCTTGCCTGGAGAATCCCATGGACAGGGGAGCCTGGCGGGCTACAGTCCATGGGGCCGCAAAGAATCAGACACAACTGAGCATGCATGATATGCTACAATTTGAGTTGTAATCTAGGACCCCTGCATGGTCTCAGTTTTTGAGGCATTGATAATAAAGTGAATTTTTATTTGGAAAATCTTGAATAGATTCTAGCTGGTGATACAGTACATTTTTTTTTTAATCATCAAGCTTTCCTGGCCAGAATTTGGTATATTAGAAAACTGGGTGAGGCAGGGAGAGGGGGCAGGAAGCAACAAACTGGCAAAAATTTACACGTGTCTTTTGCAACATAATAAATACCTAAATATAACAGGTTCTAATACCAACTCATTCTGTACTAATTCTACATTGTCATGACAACCCTGGCAAGAGCTCAGTCCTGTGGACTAGACTCTGAAGAAGTATTAGGGAGGTGCTTTATTAATCCCCCAAATTCACTCCTCCAATTTACACTGTAGGAATAAAAATTGAAACCACAAGTGTTTCCCAGCTATTAAGTTTTAAGATTCACTGGAAATCAGCTGGAAATGCCCTTTTTTTATTATTTTAATTTATTTGGCTGTGCTGGGTCTTAGTTGCACCACGTGGGATCTAGTTCCCTGACCAGGGCTTCAAATCTGGGCCCCCTGGGTTAGAAGTGCAGAATGGTAGCCACTAGACAACCAGGGAAATTCCTCTTTATTTTAAAATTTAAAAAAATTTTAAAGCAAACTACTCAAAGAAAATATAATCCTTTAGGTAGATTTCTTTTTTAAATTAGCAAAGAGATTTGCTATTTCAATTCCTGTTTTAAAGTAAAGAACAAAGAATACTTCCATCACACATACCCAGCCTCCATTTTGCCTTATCCATTCTCCTGTGTTTTCGGTGATGAACTCCGCCACAAAGTAAGAAATGTCCTTGCACATGTCCATGTCTGGGGCAATACACTTGCCTGGAAGTTTCTTGATAAGAATACCTGCAAAGGCGAATATGGTTACAATCCTGCCCCAGTTAACAATGCCATCTTCAAATTCCTTTTCCATCACTTGGTTGAATATTCTTCTGGCAGTGTCTATGGACACCACATCAAACTTATCCAAGCACTTCTTCAGCGTTCTCTCCACTTCGTTCTGGACAGAGGAAGCCATGACTTGTAACACCCTGGATGTTTTGCTTGGCCTGGATCCAGGTTGCTGTATCTGCAACACATATTTCAGATAGTCCTCAGCCAGCCTGTGAACGTAGTTGAACTCAGTGTCAGTCATCTTCTCCTTTCCCGGGAGCAGAGTCTTCAGCCTGCTCACCTTCGAGTAACCAAGCCAGTCTGAAGCACAAGCTTGTGGAGCCTGGCGAAACATGACACATGATGGTATCTGGAGGCCAGTGGAATTTCTGTTTGCATCATCTAAAGCTATCCTTCCTCCTGGTCGCTTTCAGGCGTGGGCTGCATGTGAAAGAGAAAGTATAAAATGTGAAAGAGGAAAATGTCTCAAAGACAAGCCACTTCCTCATCCTGTAAGTGATTAATGTAGTTTTTGAAGTCTTAAATTCAAGGAAGCAGAAGAATCTGAACCCTCCTGCATTGCTAGTAGGATTGTAAAACTGTTTTCACGAACTTTCACTGTGAAACATTTGGCAGTTCCTCAAAAACTTAAATACAGAGACCTTCCTGGGGGCCAGTGTTTAATTTCCACTTCCAACGCAGGGGGCGCAGGTTTTATCCCTGGTGGAGGAACTAAGATTCTACATGCCGAGTAGTGTGGCCAAAAACAAAGAAAAAAAGTTAAATATAGAATTTCCATATGACCCAGCAATTCCAGTTATAAGTATATGCCCAAAAGAAATGAAAATAGGGACTCACACAACTCCTGACATATGAATGTTCACAGCAGCATCACTTACAATAGCCAAAAGGTGGAGACAAACCAAATGTTCATCCACAGATGAAGGGATAAACGAATCGTGGAACGTTCTTAAACCACAGAAAGAAATGAAGTGTCCATACACTTTACAGCATGGAACCTCAAAACAGAACCTCAAAAACAGGACGCCCAATGGAAGAAGCCAAATGTAAGAGCTCTCCTACTGTATGATCCCATTATGTGAAATAGCCAGAATAAGTAAATCCACAGAGACAGAAAGCAAATCAGTGATTGCCAGGGGCTGAGGGGAGAAGGGAGTAACTGCTGAGTAGGTACAGGTTTCTATCTTGTGATGAAAATGATTTGGAACTACATAGAGGTGGTGGCTGGCTGGGAAACATTGTGAAGACGCTAAACGTCATTAAATTGTACACTTTAAAATGGGTCATGTGGGGACTTCTCTGGTGGTCCAATGGGTAAGACTCTGAGCTCCCACTGCAGGGGGCCCAGGTTCGATCCCTGGTTAGGGAACTGCCACAACTAAGACCTAGCACAGTGAAATAAATAAATTAAATATAAAAAAATAAAGGGAATAAAATAAAATGGATCATTTTTACATTGTGTGAATTTAACCTCCAAAAGAAAAAAAGTTCAATAAAGCCCAGTGGCTAAGCTGAATTAATGAACATTTGGAATACAGATTAGCAAACGGCCAGTAAACAGGGCCTCTCAAGCACTGCTGAGGCAACATGGCCCTTGACACTTTGGTGCTCAGATAGGATGACGGGCAGGGCGGGAGGGGGGGGCGGGAAGAAAAACGTATCTGCTTTGATCCTCACATCCCATTTACCCCAGAACTTTGTTTTTTTAGGCAAATATTTGTTGCATAACTACCAGATGAACACAAATTTTTAAAAAGTACAATCAAGAATGAAAAATATGTTTCCCAAGAGCATTAAGCAACAGGTTAGGTGTTAAACACATACAAATCTAAACACTGCAACACAAGATACTTCTAGATAAAACTAAAGGGGTTCGGGACTTCCCTGGTGGTCCAGTAGCTAAGACTCTGGGCTCCCAATGTAGGGGGCCTGGGTTGATGCTTCAGTGGGTAAGGAGTCCACCTGCCAATGCAGGGGACACAGGAGATGTGGATTCGATCCCTGGGTTGGGAAGATGCCCTGGAGAAGGGAATGGCTACCCACTCCAGTATTCTTGCCTGGAGAATGCCATAAACAGAGGAGCCTGGTAGACTACAGTCCATGGGGTCGCAAAGAGTTGGACACGACTGCGCGACAGAGCACACACACAGGGAACTAGATCCCACATGCCACAACTAAGACCCAGCACAGCCAAATAAACAAAAATTTTTTTTTTTAAAAAGACAAAATCTTGCTATAAGCCAGTATCTCTATTTCCTTTTATTAAGTCAGCCAAATTGTCCAATGTGCAGATAGAATTTAGGGGCCAGAAGGAACACTAAACTTGGAGTCAGAGGGCCCAAGCCTCATTCCTGCCCAAATCTCTGTTCCCTTACTCAGTATGTGCCCAGGGTTTGTAAAATGCAGCCATACACAATGAACTCCCAGGGGTGAGTTATGCAACTGATGACCTGTGACCTGTGTAGCACCTGTGACCACAGCTGGCACAATGTGGGGGCTTCATCAGCCCTAATTCTCCATCAATCTTTTACAGACTAATGAGAAATTCAGCTTCCCAATAAGGGCATATCTTCCTAAACGTTCAGGTTCAAATGAATTGCAAATCTGTCATTCATTTAGCTTTGGCACCAGTTCTGGGAAACAGTTGGTGGAAATGGTGAAAGTGTTGGCTAAGAAGAGCCCTGGGAAACAGAGTATGTGGCAATGAAGGCAGTCAGGGCACTGTATTCCTGTCTGCTGGCCGCATCTTTCTGTTGACCGAGGAACCAGGGTTGCTAGTAGGCAGGAGTAGAGAGTGGGAGAAAGAGTAAACAGTGCAGGGGCCCTAGAAAGATGAGATTCACTATTTTTGTTGTTGTTGTTCTATCCACATGTGGAGTAACTTTAATTTTTCGCCTCAGTGTCTCTGAAGAGTGGCAAACAGAAGAAAAAAAAAAATCCCACATACCTTGTATTTCTGAATTATCTCCAAAGGGTTAAGGAAGACGGGAGAGCTGCTGCTTAGGGTGCTGGCTGAGAGGGACTTGTGGTGGCCATGAAAATGCACCCCTGGGACTTCCTTGGTGGTCCAGGGTTAAGGCTCAGCCTCCCAATACAGAGGGTGCAGGTTAGATCCCTGGTCGGGGAACGAAGACCCTATATGCCACAGGGTGTGGCCAAGAGTTTAAAAATAAATTAATTACTTAAATTAAAAAATAAAAATTTTTGGTAAAAATAAAAAAGAAGAAAGAAAACAACAATGCACTCTGAACCTTGTACCACAGTGGTGTAATTGACCAAGGGCCCCACGGCTGGGCCCTTAATCAATCGCCCCCATGACTTGGCATGAAGGCTGTGCTGCCTGCAGGCTGTCCCCGTCAATGGCTAGTCAAGGCAGGACTAGGAAGAGCCATCCCTGTAAGTCAACCTCCTTTGAAAGGTGGCTCGATGACTCATCACCAGCTTTGTGAAGAACGGCTGAGACTCTGCTCCAACTGAGACTCTTCCTCCTGGGTCCTCCTTCCTCCTGGTTCTTCTTCATCCAGGCGGGCCCACACTGTGGTCTGACAGCTCCCTCCCCGTTCTCCCTCACAGGCATTCCCCCCACTAAATCTCTCACACATCTAATCCTCTCTTGGCATTTTCTGCCTAGAGTTATAGAACAAAGGAGCACACAGACCTGTGGTCAAGTCACTTCTCTGGGATTTTCCCTGGTGGGGGGCGGTTTCCTCCTCCCCTCCTCCCACCACCCGAGACAATGCCTCTTGGCCCACAGGAGAAGGAAGCCAAGTGCAGGCAGCTTTTTCTCCTCATGGTGCGCATCCTCGAGCACCATAAGAACCATGGCAATGATGGGAAAATGTATTATATCCTGCCACCCCCCACCCCTGCCCAGTTACATTCCCGTGGTGATGAGCATTTCTGGAAAAATAGTATGAGCAGATGGTTTAGGAGTTATTGTACAGGGGACTTCCCTGGTGGTCCAGGGGTTAAGATTTTGCCTTTCAATGCAGGGGTGCAGGTCTGAACCCTGGTCTGGGAGTTAAGATTCCACAAGCCTCTGGGCCAAAAAACCAAGACATAAAATAGAAGCAGTGTTATAACAAATTCAAGAAAGACTTTAAAAAAAAAGTCTGACTTTAAAGAGCTGCAATTCAGTCTCCTAAGGTCAGGGTCTATTACCTTTTTTCCCCTCTCTTGCCAGTGTTCAAGCCTGGACCTAGGGAAGCCAGGGACAGATCTCTGTTGAATAACTAAAACACGACCAATCTCAACACCTGGAGCCAATTACATTTAGGGCTCTGGGTTCCTGATCTGGAATTGAAAAGAAATTGTTGTAAAAAGTCTTTAATATTATAGTCTGCTTTAGTTTATTTTGCAGCATTTCCAAATAATCACTTTTCCTGGATAGGTGGAGGAAAGATGAAGTCTTTTCCAAAAATAATTATTTGTATATAAAGTATGAAAAGACTGGAATGGGGTGTGTAGGCTTAAAAAACAATCACAACCTAAAAGTTGAGTTGTTTTATTCAGTGGGAATTTTTAAGACTTCAGGCTAGAAGGTAGCCTCTTAAGTAACCCTGACAGAACTGCTCCAAGGAGGTGAGGTAGGAGCCAGTTTATAGAAGTTTTGCAACAAAGGGAAGGTAGCCTGAAGGTCAAAAGGTTATTGTTTGTTAAAGGAAAACCAGACATCTCAAGACAGTGCTTTTCTTTGTATAGGAAGATGCAGGAGTCTGGGCTTACTGAAATCATTCCTTTGATGTGCACCCCAGGTATCTGGGACCAGTGTCCTGTGTTCTCTCATCCTGAGTTTCTTCAGGGCTTCCTGGAGGGCATGGCTGCAGTCTGATGGCTGCTAGATAGCAGGTGTTCTTTCCTTCTTAAGCTCCTTCAGGCTCCCCAACTCTAGAGGGTGGCACCTGCTGATGACTGTGAAATTCTTACTGATAGGGCAGGAAATGTCCCATTTCTCGGGTGTGTTGAGATGGAGGGTCGTGTGGGACAGAGACAAGTAGCTGATCATGAAGCAGGTGTAGCCAGAAGGACGTATCCTTTGTCAATGCCACTGTGACCTGGGTTTGCATTCACCAGGCTCCAGGGCTTCCCTGGTGGCCCAGACAGTAAAGTATCTGCCTGCAAAGCAGTAGATGTAGTTGGATCCCTGGGTCAGAAGCTCTCCTGGAGAAGGGAATGGCAACCACACCAGTATTCTTACCTGGAGAATCCCATGGACAGAGGAGCCTGGTGGGCTACAGTCCA